GAATATTGAAAGTGCCATGGGCTGCCAAAAGAACCAACAGATCCATTTTGGAAGAATTGCAGCCAGTGTGCTTCTTGGAGGCCAAGATGACCAAATTTTGTCTCTCATACTTCAGACATATTATCACGAGGGAACAGTCGCTGGAGAAGGATATAGTGTTTGGTAAGGCGGAGGGTCAGAGTAAAAGAGGAAGATCCCCCCAATGAGATGGATGGCCAAGTGGCAGCATCGATGGACTGAGGCATGCCAACAATAGTGAGGTTGGCCCAGGATCGGGCAGTGTTTTGTTCTGCTGTGCACAAGTTCGCTATGAGTCGGTCGTGACTTGATGGCACCTAACAACAACAACTGGTATGCATGTAAAAGTTGGATAATGAATAAGGAAGACTAGAAAAATGGATGTATTTGAATTATGGCATTGGAGAAGAATATTAAAAGTACAATGGACTGCCAGAAGAACAAACAAATCTGTGTTGAAGAAGTACAGCCAGATGGCTCCTTAGAAGCCAGGATGGTGAAATATTGTCGCTCATACTTTGGACATATTGTCAGGATGGACCAGTCCATGGAGAAGGACATCGTGCTTAGTAAAGTGGAGGGTCAGCGAGAAAGAGGAAGACCTCCAACGAGATGGATTGGCACAGTGGCAGCAGTAATGGGCTTAAGTATAACAATGATGTGAGGATGATGCAGAACTGAGCAGTGTTTTTGTTTGTGCATAAGGTTGCTTGGAGTCTGAATCAACTCAATGACACGTAACAACAACAGTTATATAGGCTATTATCACTGGAGGAAGATAGGGAAGGGTACACAGGGCTTTGTTCTACTTTTGCAATTTCCTGTGACTCTCAATTTCAAAATAAAAAGTTTTAAATTAATTCAATCTTGGTACTTTGCTACAGTTACAATATTTTCAAGTTTGTAAACAAGAGAGCAGGGTCTGCTCTTTTGGAAGCAAAGAAAATGCTTTTCAATGCAATTCCACTCATTTAATAATGATAATCAAGAAACTGCTTATAGGCACATTTTACTGGCTGGGTTTAAATTCAGTTCCAGATGATATTACAAAACCAATATTAATTAAATGACCATATATTGCAGAGGAGTTCTGGTGTGGTGTTGCAAGGTAATACACTGGACTGCAAGATATCATTGAACCACAAGGTTGGGGGTTCAAACCCACCAGCTGCTCCTCAGAAACCCTATACAGGATTGCTATGGGTCGTAACTGACTTGATGGCATTTAACAATAATAATATATATATATTATAGAGGTAAATTTTCAGAGTGTGTGAAATACAGTCTGTTTCTGAGAATTCTTCAGAGAGTAGCTGAGTGGGGCACATTGACCAGAGCCTACATACAGAACCATGTATTTCCCATCCTGTAATTGCCTGTTGTTAAGGGAGATCACTTACCTCAGTAAATCCGGACACATCACCAGTGCCTGAAGTATGTCTTCCACCCTCTTTGGGATATCCCCTGGTCCCCCTTGTAGCTGTGGTACACATGCCTGGGCCAGCTCCCATTCTCCCCTCTGCAGACACTCACAGAAAAATTCAAAAAGCTGTTTCTGAGAGGCAGCTTCTTCTTTTCCAAATGGATGCGGCATTTTCCCAACACAGAGTGCAACGGGATGACTTAAGCCAAGCACATTCTCAATTTTCTCATTCGTGGAGTACCTCCTAGGACACAAGGTAACACTCGGTGTGATGAGAGCAAAGGAAGGAACTCTAGACAAACAAGCAACTACTGGCCGATCGGGAATAGGTGAGATTTCCTTTCCTAATATATATTTTTAAGTTTAATTTGTTACTCTACTATTTCCTTTTGAGAACTGCCACCATTCCCCAAGGGGTGGATGCCATCTCTCCACGCGCATCCTTATTTAATTAATATTTATCCTTGTACTCGCACAAAATGCAGACCATTAACGGTACCGTCACGTGGCTAACGCTCTTAAAACCTGACACCTGAGGATTAATGCTCCTTCCAATTCCTAGGTGCTGGCCTTCTCAAAGATGAGAAATTCAGCAGTACCCCCCTAGCTTGAGTCCTCTGCCGAGGCAGCGGATTGAGACTCAGAACACTAATCTGTGTCAGAAGCGGAGGACAGTGGGGGTTGAGACTCCCTACAGGGGTCGTGGAGAGCACCCCCACCTGTTCTGAGCTGCCTTACACTCTCACTCACCTGATCTCTGCGCCCAAAGCAATTGAGGTCCCAACGCAGCCATATTTGGTTGAACTGAGTCAGGTGATAGGTCCCGCCCGATGGGAGGTGGAGAGACAATTTAGAGCGGCTACTCCTATTGGCTCATTGAAGAGAAGCTACAAATGACTCGCCGTATTTGTTTGGAGCACATGACCACAGCACTCGGGACTAGGAAAAGCCAGGAAGCTTGGATAGAGTAAATTAGTTTCTCGGATTCCGATCATCTCTCTTTGTTGTGTTGAGCTCTTCTATTAAACAGCTCCAGTTACGCATATCAGCCGACTTGGTGGCAGGAATTGTTGTTCCCATGTTTTTTTTTCTTCTGCCGTCTTTTCTCTCTAGCATTTGATGTCAACTGTTAACTCAGCGTCAATCACGTGATGGTGCTTTGTGGGGCGCTGGCGATACTTAGAACTCTGAGCCCTGAGTCCTCTTCCATTGTCATTTTGCTCTCTTCAAATCCGGAAACCGAAGCTTAGCATCTGAATTTCCATTTTCTTCTATCTCCCTCTCCATTCATTTATTTGCTCATTTACTTGTTAAGTATTAGTCATCCCGACTCATGTAAGTGCTGTGGGGTCGATTCTTACTCATAGGAAACGACTGGTAAGCTTGACTTATAGCAACCCTATTTAGGGTTTCCGAGGAACGCCTAGTGAGCCCGGAACGCCGATCTTGCGGTTCAAACCGACCTTGCAGTCCAGCGCATCAAGTCACAGGGCCACACCAGGATTCGGCTCATTCACTAGACAGTGTTAATTGAGCGGTGTGCTAGACCCTACCTTAGAAGTAGGGGTTAAAAGAACAGAATGAGATAAGACCCTGTTCTCAAGGGCTCACTGGCTAGTAAGGGGTGCAGGCTAAGGGTTAGGATTTAACAACAATAATAGACCAAACCTGTTGCAACGTAGTGGACTGAACTCATGGCAGCCTCATGTGCTACAAAGTTGTTCAGTGTCATCAAGTTGGTTCCAATCGTAGATGTCAGGTCTTCTGGAATGTGACGCTACATGGGTTTGAACCATCAGCCTTTAGAGTAGTGGTGGTGGTTGTTAAGTGCAGTCGCGTAGATTCCATATCATAACAATCCTGTATAGGTTTCCGAGGAGCGGCTGGTGAGTTTGAACTGCTGACCTTGTTCACACCAGGACTTCAGGCTAGTGTTGGTGTTGATTATGTGCTGTGGAGTTCTGACTCTGCTATCCTATATAGGATTTCGAAGGCGATAGGTCTTCACTGGAGCAAAAAGCCACGTCTTTCTCTTGAGGATTGACTGGTAGAATAAAATTGCTGACTTTGTGGTTAGCAGCCCAACTCTTAACCCACTAGGTTACCAGAGCTCCTTTATAAGTCAAACCCACCAGCTGCCCCTCGAAAACCCTATATGGCACTTAACAAGTCAAGCACAAACCGTTTGCACACCCAGGGACCTCTGTACATTAAGCTACTTCATAAGATTCTTCTTAATGAATCAATCCCACTGCCATTGAGTCAATTTTGACTGGTAACAACCCAGTGTAGGGTTTCTGAAGCTGTATATCTTTATAGAAGACAGGAGGAGCGGCTAGTGGGTTTGAACTGCTGACTTTTGAGCAGTCCAGTTCTTATCCTATAGTGTAACCAGGCCTCTTGCATTATAAGAATGCTATGTGCCGTGGAGTTGGTTTCGACTCATAGCGACCCTGTACAGGGTTTCCGAAGCTGTAAATCGTTACGGGAGCAGAAAGCCTCATCTTTCTCCTGCGGAACAGCTGGTAGTTTCGAACTGCTGACCTTAAGGTTTGCAGCCCGATTCGTGACCACTACGCTACCAGAGCAGTCCTTATAAGATAGAAATATGCAAAGATGAGATGAGAGCAAAGGCTTTTTGCAAGGATAATGATCTGACACCGGATCTTAAGCACTGGTTTATTGGGTTTCCTTCCAATCCCAGCTCCGTTTTTAGAAGACCCTCTTGTTTTCTTTCACGTTCAACTATATATGCTCACATTTCAGTCTGAGCAATTTCATTCAGCAGTTTTCAAACGATTTCATAACCCTTTTTAAGAAGCAGAACTAAAACAAACAAAAAACTCTTTCCAAAACTGTCCTGTTGTTTGAAGTGCCGTTGTTTGGAACTATTCTAGCATGTTTCTCTGTTCCTTTAAGCGACTTTTAAATACAGAGATAAAAAGGAAGAAAAGATAAATTCCAACTAAGGTTTTCCCTTCAAATCTCCTTGACGGTGTGCCCTTCAGCTGCTTTTTATAATCACTATATTGAAAAACTCACTCCCACCTGTATCGGATAGAGAGAACGTAAACTACAATTCCCAGTGAGCAGCGGAGTCAATCTGTGCCTGTTCTTGTCTTTGATTGGGTAATGTACGTAGGGCGACTACTCAACCAGCGACTCGGTAGTTAGAGTGTCGCTTTTGGCGGGGAACTATATAAGGGGTGGAGGAACCTTGCAAAGTTGGATGCTACAGTCCCGGTAGTGCAACTTTTCGTTTGCCGGGCAGTTGTGGGGACGAGGGGGGGCGGGCGCCCATTATTTCACGCTTCGTCCCTGGGCTTGTATGCATTGATATCGGTGTGTTCGGGGTGGCTGTCGGGTCCAGGTCACGCTCGCTCCCTTAGGCTGGTAGGGATCTTTACCAGGACTCACGTGGATCTAGGGGCTTTTCACCCTCTTTTGCATTTTTTTTTTTTTATTCTGAGTTCCACATTTTTTGACATATTGTGTTCTCTTTTAGGGAAGGTTTTTACATTTTTTTTTTTTTTTTGCGCGCGGGGCGGGGAAGCTACTCCTAGATTTTGGATGCTAGAGGAAACTCTTTAAAGGGAGTTCTTGGGTGGTGTTTTCACGTCTTTATTGGTCCCCACACCCAATGCTGGCATTTTGAGGTTCAAGAATTAGGAAAATTTTAGGTCCTGTCCTCCAGGTGGTGTTGAAAGGGAGGTAGGTAAGAGCGCGGAATCTGGAGACAGACTACTGGATTTGAGTGTGGACTCCAGCATTTACTAGCTGCTTGAGTTTGCAAGTTTTTCGCCTCAGTGCCTCAGTATCCTTATCTGTAAAATGGGGTAGTAAACTCAAAGCGCTTGAAACTGTGTCTGGCTCTTAGTAAGGACTCAGTAGAGCTTCTTATTAATGCTACTTCAGAATTTAATTGTACACATAATAGATTTTTTCATTTAATATTACTGTTGTTACTTCTGTTATTGTTTTGTGTGCTTGAGTGGGTTCTGAGGGTTTCTGAGGTGTGGCTGGTGGATTTGAACTAATAGCCTTGCAGTTAGCAGTCCAGTGTTAGCCACACAAGGACTACCAGGTGTCTTCTGTTAAGTGCCAATTGCTAGTGACCCTGTGTAGGGTTTCCAAGGAGCAACTGGTGAATGTGAACCACCAACCTTGTGGGTTCAAACCCACCTTGTGGTCCAGTGCATTATCCTGTAGCACCACTCCTGGTGGTGGTTATGTGCTGTGGAGTCGTCTCTGACTCGTATCTGCATAGGGGTTTCCGAGGCTGTAAATCTTTACAGGAGCTGAAAGCCAGCCACATCTTTCTCCTGCGAAATGGCTGGTAGTTTCAAACTGCTGACCTTGAGGTTAGCATCCTGACTCGTAACTACTACGCTACCAGAGCTCCTTGTAGTTGATTCCAATTCACAGCAACCCTATAGGACAGAGTAAAACAACACCATGAGCTTTCCAAAGCCGTGATCTTCTCAGGAGCAGTTGCCGGGTCCAACCAACCTTTCTTTAACAGCTGTGAACTTAACCGTTGTGCTACCAGGGCTCCTTTTGAATATCACTGTTATTAAATGCTGTAGACTGGGTTCCAACTCAGTGGCCCTGTATAGGGTTTCCAAGCCTATAAATCTTATGGGAGCAGAAAGCTGCATTTTATTCCCCTGGAGAAACTGGTGGACTTTAACCTTGGACCTTGTGGTTAGAAGTCCAGCTCTTATCCTACAGAGCCATACCACTCCCATGACTGTCACTAATCCTCCCCATATATATGTACACACACAGCAGGGATGTGTAGTATTGAGTGGAAGAAGTAAACATGCAAACCTTAGTAATTCATTGGTAAGATTATAAAACAGCTATGTACAAAGTGCTATGAGAACATTTGGGACTGATTTGAGGTAAGGTTTTGTGGGGGAAACTCAAGGAGGCAGGAGCTCACGCTTGCCTAGCTCACCAGTTTACCAGTATAGTTGGAGAGTAGGTCATGTGAGGTAGCAAGCCTAGATGCTTGCTGAATATGTTGATGAAGATTATAATTGCTAACTTTGAGCACAATGTGCCAGGCACCAACCAAACAAATCCTTTATCACTGCAATTCTATGAACTGTTGTTAGGTGCCATTGAGTTGGTTCTGACTTAATATATAACAATCCATGTATTTAATTGAAGGGTTTCCTCTTTTTCACTGTCCCTCTACCAAGCATGATGCATGCCCTCCAGGGACTGGTCCCTCTTCATATTCAGAGCATGTGAAAAGAAATCTTGCCTTCTTTACTTCTAAGGATCACTCTGTCTGTACTTCTTCCATGACAGATTTGTTCTGGCAGCCCATGGTGTTGTTCTCGTTAAGTGGCGTCAAGTCGGTTCCGACCCATAGCGATCCTATACAGGGTTTCCGAGGCTATATATCTTTACGGGAGCAGAAAGCCTCATCTTTCTCTTGCAGAACAGGTGGTAGCTTCGAACTGCTGACCGTGAGGTTAGCAGTCTATCTTGTAACCACTACGCTACCAGAACTCCTGGCAGCCCGTGGTAGTCAGTATTCTTTGCCATCACTATAATTCAAAGGCATCAGTTCTTCAGTCTTCCTTATTCATTGTCCAGCTTTTGCATGCATGTGCAACTATGAACTAGATATTACGACTGTCCATGCTTTGTAGATGAGGAAATTGAAGACGTTGAAGTAATTTGCTAGAAAGGTCAGGATCTGAATCTTACAACCTGATAAATGAATGAGGAGGAACTGAAGGACCAGATTATGAAGGATCTCTATGCATTCCTAAAATTGGAAATTTATCCTGTGATCTAAGCATGTCATGGGGGATTTTGAAGGATAGGAGCGACAGGACCAGAGCTTTAGGAAGCTACCTCTGGCAGGATTGTGATACTGACTTAACTTGTGCAGACCAGTTTGGTACTAGTCAGTGTCATTGAATTATGTATACGGAAACATGTTGATGTATGTTTTGTTGTGTATATTCTCAACAACAACAAAGTAAATTATTTACTCAGTGAATAATTGTAGTCTGACCCATTGTGAGTTGAGGTTACCTTGTGTTGGGCCTGTGTCAACCATAGTCAGCAGTCTCTTGTAAGGAACCATCATAAATTGTTTACTTTAAAATAACAGAAATATATTCTACTATCTGGAAGCCCCAGGAGCTCTGGTAGCGTAGTGGTTATGAATCGGGCTGCGAACCTTAAGGTCAGCAGTTCAAAACTACCAGCTGTTCTGCGGGAGAAAGATCAGGCGTTCTGTTCCCATAAAGATTTACAGCCTTGGAAACCCTGTACAGGGTCACTATGAGTCAGTTCCGACTCCATGGCACAAAACCACCACCACCACCATCTGGAAGCCCAGGTGCCCTGGTGTGGTGCTGTAGGATAATACACTGGATCACAAGGTCAATTTGAACTGCTAGGGCGGCGAGTCAAGCTCACCAACCCCTTGTTGGAAACCGTATATAGGGTCGCTATGAGTCGGAATTGACTCGACGGCACTTAACAACAACATCAGCACCTAGAAGCCCTAAAGGAGATTCTCTTCCTTGATTCTTCAACTTCTGTGTCTGCCAGCATTCCTTGGCTCATGGTTGCTTACTCCAGTCTCTGCCTCTGTCTTCACATGGCCTTCTCCTCTGTTCCTGTTTTCTCCTGTCTCTTATAAGGACAGATATCAGTGGATTTAGGGCCTGTCTGCTCCCGTAAACATTTGTTGTTGTTAAGTGGCCGTAGAATTGGTTTTGACTCATAATGACCCAAAATAGAGTTTTCTAGGAGTGACTGGTGGTTTGAACTGCCAACCTGTTGGTTAGCAGATCAGTGCTTATCATACAGTGCCACACCAGGACTTAGCCTTAGAAACTCTAGGGAACAGGTTTACCTTGTCTTATAGGGGCCTTGTGAGTTAGAATCAACTCGATGACAGTGGGTTTGGATAATCCAGGGGGTTCATATCTCAACATCCTTAAATGAATTCTATCTGCAAAAACGCTTTTTTCCAAAGAAGCTCACATTCTGAGGCTCTGGGAATTAGGAAAGAGCTGTGGTGGCACAGTGGTTAAGCACTTGCCTGCTTAGGGAAAGGTCAGTGGTTTGAGCCTGTTTCTGTAAAGATTTTCCCTATAGGGCAGTTCTCTGTGACCCTATGAGTCATCTTTGTATGAGTCACATTTGACTCAGAAGCCATGAATTTGGTTTTTGGTTTAGGGATTAAGATGTGGGCTTTTTGAGGGCTATCTTTCCATCCACTACAATGGCCTTCATTGATTTTTGCCTGTAATATTTTAAATGATATACATTTCATTTTGCATATGGATAAGCTAGAAGTTTGCTTTTTGTATTTTGGATAGACCACCTACTATCACTTATACTATTTTCTGATGGTTTTTCAGTGTTATTTTGTCCTTTGCTGGATCTGGAGGCATGGCTAGCAAGAAACTAAGACGAGTGGGTTTATCACAAGATCTGTGTGACCGACTGAGCAGACACCAGATTGTCACTTGTCAGGTAAAATTTATTTGATTTTTTTCTCTAAGAGAAATTTTATGTACAAAGTAAATTTAAGTATACCTTAAAAAAAAAAGAAAACCACCAAACCAAACCAGCTGCCGTTGACTTAATTCCAATGCATTGTGACCTAATAACTTTTAAATAAATATAAACTCTAAAGTTCTGTCACATAGTGACCCTGTATAGGGTTTCCGAGGAGCACCTAGTGGGTTGGAACTGCTGACCTTGTGATTTGCAGTCCAGTGCTAATCCTGCAGCGCCACACCAGGAGTCCGTGAAAGTGTAGGCTTGCCCCCCAAAAAAGATAAATAATGGTGCTTCTTCATAGGCTAACTAAAAATAACAAGTTACTTAGGATGCATTTTCAAATGTGATTTCATTTACCTGAACTGTATACTTGCATTTTGTGTGGAGAATGCTCATGACTGAACCCTGAAAACATTATTGAGTGAAATAAGTCAGTAGTGTATGACATTTGCCATTTAAGCCTTTTTTTACATGCACAGTTCAGTGACAATTCTTTTCATCATGTTGTGCAACCGTCACCTTTCCCAGAAATTCAGTGCCCTCATGGGCTGTGACTCTCTTTTTCTTCCCTTCTGCCCCTGGTAATTACAAAGAAGCTTTGATCTTTCTTTTATTGGCCCATTCTAAGTATTTTACATGTCAGCACACAATATGTATCCTTTTGGAACTGACTTATTTCACTCAGCATAATGTTTTCAGGGTTTTCTCATGCAGTACCATGTGTCAAGATCTCCACAGTCAGTTTTTCCTTCTCTCAATGATCACAGGATTTCTCTGTGTGATCTCCTAGCTGAACAAGAAACTCATTTCAGCCTGACACTTTTTGGGCATCTGTCTGTGCCTAGTCTCACCTCTGGCACAATTGCAGCGCTTATATAAATCTGGGTTGGATGCAGCTGCTTCTGTGTCCCAAGCTCATTGACTAGTAAGAGTTCTAGGAAGTATAACGAGCAGGAGTTTTCCACTTAGCTTTTATACTTGCAAGACATTTTGAATTTTTCAAACAGTAGACATTTGGTGAATTTAAGTACTTGATATGCTATGACTCCTTTGGAATATACTAACTGCATTGGATGACTAGATGACGCAACTATGTCATTATATCTTTTAGTTAAGACATGTTAAATTGTGTCATGTTGGTTCCAACACATAGCCACCATGCATAGAGTCTCCAAGGAGCAGCTGGTGGGTTTGAACCATCGACCTTGCAGTTAGCATTCTAATGCAAGGAACACATGATTCTTTCATCTGTAATTAATTATGCTTTTATTTACACATGGTGTCAATTGAAAGTTTCCTTCTAATCTTTGTCACATAGATATGTTTAAAATATTGTCTTTGTGTCTCTTTAGGACTTTTTGTGCCTTTCCCCACTGGAGCTTATGAAGATGACTGGCCTTAATTATCCAGGTGTCCATGAACTTCTGTGTATGGTCAGCAGGGCCTGTGCCCCACAAATGCAAACAGTAAGTGTATATACAAATATGAATATATGTGTACTAAGTGATTTTTTATCACATTTAAGATTTTTTTTGGAATGAGGAAAAAAATATTAGTGTTGAACACCTCAAAAATAATAACTTTCACATCACAGAGTCAGTCTTCAAATTAGAATATTTGTGAAATTTGTATGTTGTTTCTAAGTTTATGGGAGATAATGCTAAATAATGGGAATTGGAAGCTTTTCATTTCTCTGTAACTGAGTGATATTTTTGTTGTTCCTTTGGGTAGGATTTGAAACCCTCAGGGTTAAGTCAAATATACTATTCATGTTTGAATGTCCAAGTTATACTCTTGATGCTAGAATGTCTCTGTCTTTGTAGTACTAACCTTTAGCATCATCACTTATACCACAGCATCCACACGGTTGCATTCATTCTTGCTTATTGATTGAGTCAATGACACTTTAAAGTTTATCTTCACTCTTAAGAAAGGAAGATTGAAGTCTTTTCTAATAAACCCTCAACAAATTATCCTTTTTTTTGGCAGGGAGGGAGGGCGGTGCTTTCTGTCTAATTACTATAGTTTTTCAAAATGTGGGTTTTGTGTATCGTTAAGATCTTATTTTTCCAGAAAGAGAGATGCCTGAAAGCATGCTCCATGCTTTACAAATGTATTTTTATATGGATTGTAAATGACTCACATGAATGTCATTCATTTTATACTGAAATTCGGTGACTACTGTGTAATTAAAGAAGTTGGAATTCTGTGAAGAGGGAAGGAAAGAATGTTGGGTTTATTTGAAACTTTTGAAAACAATGCACAGATAATGTAATTTCTTTTTTCAGATTTAGCTTGTGATCTAGAAAAAAAACTTATAGGCAGGGCAGTCAGAAGGAGAGCTAGCAATTGGTGCTAGTTTTAACTTTCCCATTGATGTTGTTGCTTTGGACAGTTCATTCGTTTTCATGGAAGAAGTTAGACAATTAAAATAGGAGGACTCTGTGGCTAGATTAAGATAAACTTATTATTTTGTAGCTCTTAAAGCATGAAGAAAACCTTTAATTTTGACATTCACTTTGACATATGTCATTCTCTTAGGCCACTCTTTATGAGGTATTTCCAGTTAGGTAATGAAATAAGAGAGCATGGGCAAGAAACGCAGCTTTAGTCTGCAATTCTATGACCACTTTCAGTTCAAATCTCAGTACTATTCCTAATACCAATTCTAGGCGCCATGTTTCTCCATTAGTTTATATTTACTTTCATAGCATTCTTTAAATTTGAGTCCTGCCTTAAACATTGTCTTAGTTTAGACCTTCGATAAGTTTTTTTTTCATTGTTATTGAAATTTTCCCAAATATTCATTCCTTCAAGTCATATTTTTGGAGTGCCATTCATGTATCCAGTACTTTCTCAGGCATTGGAGAGATCTTGGTGAACAAGGTAGATAAAGTTCCTGCTCTCATGTAGCTTACAGCCTAGTGGGGAAGGCAGATACTAAACATGTAATTACTGAGTTAATTAATTAATTATAGTAATGTATGTCCTGGGAGGAAAAGTATAAGAACTTTGAAAATTAATAACAGGAACATTGCTTAGCTAAAAGTTAGGAAACACTTTCCTGAGGAAGTACCACTTCAGCTAAGCCCTGAAGGACAAATAGGAGAAAGATAGACAAAGAGTTGGGGAGAGAGGTGGTAGGGGAATAAAATCTGGCTGGTGTGAATGGAACATAGCAGTGAGGAAGAGAGTAATAAGAGATATAGTGAAAGAAGTCAGCAGGAATTAGATCATAAGAAATGTTGAACTTTATTCTAAGAGCAATGGGAAGCTATAAAAGGTATCATCTGTGTTTTAAAAAAAATAAGTCTTGAGCATAGGTAATTGAAAGGAAGCAAGAATTTGGTATTCAGGCAAAAAGTTTACGTGGCTTAGATTGCTAATCGAGAGTATAATGTTGGTTGATATAGGAGAGGGATTTAGAAGGAAGAATTAATAGGATTTAGTGATGGTGCACCTGACTGATCCCACAAGCTGTGGTATTTTCAATCCCTTTACATACATGTGTAAGCTGGGCAATGAATAAGAAAGACCAGAGATTATTGATGCATTTGAATTACAGTGTTGGCAAAGAATCTTGGAAGTACTGTGAACTGCCAGAAGAGCAAACCAATCTAACTTGGAAGAAGTACAGCCAGAATTTTCCTTAGAAGTGAGGATGGCAAAACTTCATCTCACATACTTTGGGCATGTTTCCAGGAGAAAAGGACGTTATGTTTGGTAAAAGTAGGTCAGTGAAGAAGAAGAAGACCCTCAATGAGATGGATTGACACAGTACCTGCAACAATGGGCTCAGACATAACCATTGTGAGGTTAGTGCAGGACCGGGCAGTGTTTTCTTCTATTGCATATAGGGTCACTGAGTCAGAACTGACTCGACAGTGCCTAACAACAACAACAACAGCAGCAATAGTGATTGTCTGCCTGTGGGTGGTGGTGAGGAACAGGAAAATAGCAGAGGTGATTCTCTGGTTGGAGATATGAAGCAAGGAGTTAAATATGTAGACCTGGAGCTTGAAGAGATCTTTGGTAGAGCATTTGGGAGTCATTGGTGTAAATATGGTGGGTGAATGTGTGGGCATGGAAGAGTGAGTGATTGACTAGACAGTATATTCAATCAGAAGATAAGCATACTCAAAACCATGTTCTGAGTGATGACAACATTTAAAGACCAGATTAGGCAAGGATGAGAAGAAACAGCCACCAAATTAGAAGAAAAGCTAGATGAGTGTCATATCACAAAATTCCTGGCTCTCATACAATACTGTATATTCTATTATTTATGAAGTCTTGTTGTGTTAGTTCATTTTACCTCTTTTTTTCAAATCACCAAATCTATTATCTTAGGAATTACATTTATAGTTCTGAATAAAGTACTTTACTTGTGGCAGAGCTCCTTTACATGTTTGCTAAAGTGTCCCTGTGCCCACCTGCGTTGCCTGAAGATGGATTGTAGCAAATAGTCAGGTATTTCTAAATCATATGCAAACCAAATGACTTTTATTGTACCTTTCCTAATTGTTCTATGTACCGGAATATAAGTTTAAAAAAAAATCTAATGATAACCCATGTTTTAACTGATCTAAGAATTTAGTAGACAAGATTACACAGAGTTGGCCCATATATGGATCGTAAATACTAACACACTAGTCTCCCTACAGGAGTCCTGATGTGCCACTGTGGGTTAAGGTCGGTTTGAACTGCAAGGTTGGCAGTTCAAGCTCACAGGGTCCCTGTGAGTCAGAATCAATTTGATGGCACTTAACAACAATAGTTTTCCTATAAAGAGCTTTAATGGTGCTGTAGGATAAGCACTGGATTACTAACCTGAAGGTCAGCAGTTCAAATCCACCAACCACTCCATGGGAGAACGATGAGACTTTCTGCTCCTGTGAAAGATTTACAGTCTTGGAAACCCCATAGGGTTGCTGTGATTTGGACTCAGCTTGATGGAGGTGGGCCTGAGGTTTTGGTTTGGTCTTCCTCCAGCTTCACAAAGACAGAAGCGTCTTCAATTTGGAACAGGGATGCAGTAATAAGTGAGCTTGATGTGGGCAGAAACTATGTCTGTTTGGCTTACCATTGTATTCCCACAGTCCAAATAAGTATGTGGCATACAGTAGTCATTCCGTTTTTATTTGGTTAATGAAGGAATGATTACGGTTCTATGGCTCGACTGTAGTTTATTTGGGTAACTTAATTTAAAAAAAGTAATTTTTAATGTTTTCAGAGATTTCAGATAGGCAAGCATTCTTGTACATTGCTAATGGGCATGTAAATTGGTATGGTTTTATAAGCAGTTTGAATTGAAAATTTTATACCCTTAAAACCAAAAAAAAACCCCAAAAAACCCAAAAAACCCACAAACCCATCTTGACTGCCATCAAGTCAGTTCCCACTCAGCATCTATGTATAGGGTCTGAGGCTGTAAATCTGTGTGGGAGCAGAAAGCCTCATCTTTCTACTTTGTAGCAGCTGGTGGGTTTGAACTACTGATATTGCAGTTATTCTACAGCACTTATTCCAGTGCTTATTCTACAGCACCACGAGGCCTCATTTATGCCTTTATATAAAAAACAGGAAAATATAATAGCTAGACTTTTTTCCCATTTGAAATTGAGATATATGACCTTGTGGTTCAAACCGACCTTTCTGCCCAGTGCTCCAGTGTATTGTCCTGCAGTGCCACACCAAGACTCCATTGCAGTGCCTAGGGGAATGCAAAACTAAATTGATGTGTAAAAAGACCATTACAAAAACCTTTCAAAGAAAGAAAGGAAGAAAACTTTTTTTTTTTTTTTTTTTTTTTGCCCATCTAGAGACTTTTATTCAGGGTGAGGAAGGTAACCTCTGCCTGAGAGAGAAGGCAGGAGGCAGAAGGGAAGAGAGGAAGAGGAAGAAGGAGAAGAGCAGAGAGAGAAGAGGGCAGAAATAAGAAGAAGAGGAGAAGAGGAGAAAACATTTTTTAAGAATCAGATTAAATTAAGTATTTCAGAAAAGATTAATACAAATTATGAAAATAAATTTCTCTGTAGAATAATAAGTTTATAGTTATAAAAACATCAGAATGATCACAATCAGCATACTGTTGATATATAGTTAGGTGCTCTTTGATTGGCTCCAGCTCATAGACACCCTGTGTGCAGAAACACTTCCTGGTCCTATGCCACCCTCAGAATTGTTATGTTTCAGCCCATCTTGTTGGGGCTCTTTTTCTTTTTTGTGGAGCCTCCACTTTACTAAACATGATGTTCTTCTTCTAGGACTGGTCCCTCCTGATAATATGTTCAAAGTACATGTTATCAGGAGGTCTCCATCCTTGTTTCTAAGGAGAATGCTGACTGCACTTCTTCCAAGATGGATTTGTTTGTTCTTCTGGAAGTCCATGGTACTTTCAATACTCTTTGCCAGCACCATAATTTAATTGCATTAATTCTTTTGGGGCCTTCCTTATGCGCTGTCCAACTTTCAAATGCACATGACTAGATTGAAAATATCATGGCTTAGGTCAGGTGCCGTGTAGTGCTCAGAGTGCCATCTTTGCTCTTTAACACTTTCAAGAGGTCCTGTACAGCAGATTTGCCCAATGCAATATATAGTTTGATTTCTTGACTGCTACATCTATGAGTATTGATTAGGGACCCAAGTAAAATGAAATCCTTGACAACTTCAATCTTTTCTCCATTTATCATGATGTTGTTGTTTTTTTTTCAGACTGAGTTGAAGGCTACAGACCTTGATCTTTATCAGTAATTGCTCAAATCCACTTCACTATCAGCAATTAATTAATTAAACAAGCAATTACATTGAAGTATGATATTATAAAAGGAAAGTTGTAATAGAAACGCAGAGCAGAGATGCTCAATCTGGTCCATGGACTGGAGTACAATGAACATTTTCCAAAGACTTGACATCTAAGATTTCCTTCCACTCCATTTCCAGCTCACTGTGTGGGGACTCCAGCTCACCTGGACTCCTGGTGTGGTGCTGTAGGATCAGTGCTGGACTTTGAACCACAAGATTGGCAGTTAAATCTACCAGCTGTTCCTCAGAAACCCTATACAGGGACCTTATGGGTCAGAACAGACTCAGTGGAACTTAACAACATTTCCTCCCATAGACTTTCTTTCTGTACTTTCCATTCTTGAAATGATCTTATTCCAGCTCTCAGATTGTGTCATCTGCATATCGCATGTTGTTAATGAGCCTTCATCCAATCCTAGTGCTGTGTTCTTCTTCATTCAGTCTAGTTTCTCAGATTATTTGTTCAGCTTGCAGTGTGAATGAGTATGGTGAAAAGAGACATCTCTTATACATACCTCTCCTGATTTTAATTATGTAGTATCCCCTTGTTCTGTTCAAACAACTGACTCTTGGTCTATGTACAGTTTATGCATGAGTGTGGGATAATCAACAAATAAAGTAGCCTAATTCTTTGTGAAATTAGCTGTGAAAGAGCAACTAGGATAAGAAAAGAGAATTTCAGAATTTTATTTTATTAGACAAACTTGTGGTATACTAGCTACCTGGCTTTAGATACCTCACTAGTACCGGAAGCTTGTTTCCCCAGTATAGCTACCCTAGGTTGGACCACCATTACTTTTCTTCTAAATGATTAGAGTGTCCTCCTAACAGACCTTGCTTCAACCCTCTTCCAAGCTCAGTTCATCTTCACCAAATGACGACATATGGTGTGGCTTAAAACAACAGAAATATACTCTTATATTTTGGGGGCAGTAGTCTGAAGTCAAGGGGTTGACAGGGTTGCACTCCCTCTGGAGGCTCTGGGGGAGACTCCGTTCCTTTCCTTTTCCTACTGTTGGTGACTGTTTGTAATAATATTTAGGGACCTCCTGGATAATCCCGGATGATCTTCTCACCTCAAGATCTTTAACTTAATCACATCTGTCAACACCCTTTTTTCCCAAATAAGGCAACATTCACAGGTTCCAAGATTTGATGTGGATTTCTTTTTTTATGTGTCTTTTTTTGAACGACCACACCCACTGCCAAGTTAGTCGTCAGAAACTATTCTGAGTATCTTTCTGAGATTATTGAGTCTTCTCACTCCTTCTTGCTCTCAGGATAGATTCCAAACACTTCCACAAGGCTCCTCATGATTGAGCCTCTGTTTACTTCTCTGGTCCTTTGCCTGCTATGCCGGGCCCACATCCCATCTTGTAACCATTCTTAATGGACTTCTAACACTTTCTGTAAGTTTCTGGTTTATCTCTTACTTGGTTCTTGACCTTTCTTTTATATATCTTGTCCTCTCCCCTCTTAAGCACCTGTTCTAGTGACATGAGATAGATATTAGTTGAACCAATCCTAAGTGAAGATCATTTCAGACACCTCCATATGTAATATATGAGCAATTGATTATTGATTTTGCAGAATTATATAATTTCTATCACCAAGGCCATATTTTCCAACTACTGATCCTTCCTCTTTGTCCCCAACCTTTGCATTCAGTAGTGATCAATACATCAAAAGTGCATGTTTGATCAATTTCAGATTGAAAGACTTGGTAGAATGATCAATTGCTGTACCAAAAGGAAATGGTTGATATTCAACTTTTTCAAGAGATAGGATATGATCAAGAGCCAATGATACTGAAGGAAGAAGTCCAAGGCGCATTGAAGGAATTGGCAAAGAAGAAGGCACCAGGAATTGATGGAAAAATTGAAATCTTTCAAGAAAGTGAGGTGGCACAGGAGGCACTCACTCATCTATGCTAAGAAATTTGGAAGACAACTACTTGGCCAAGTGACTGGAAGAGATCCATATTTGTGCCCATTCCAAAAAGAGGTGACCCAATGGAATGCGGAAATCATCGAACAATCTGTTTGATATCCCATGGAAGTAAAGTTTTACTAAATGTAATACAAAAACGGCTGCAAGCATACATTGACAGAGAACTTCCAGAGGTCCAAGCTGGATTCAGAAAAGGCTGTGGAACAAGTGATATCATTGCTTGATGTCCGATGGATCTTGGCTTAAAGCAGAGACTACCAGAAAGATGTTTACCTGTGCTTTATTGACTATGCAAAGGCTTTCGATTGTGTGGATCATGACAAGCTATGGACAACATTGTGAAGTATGAGTATTCCTGAACACTTAATTGTGCTCATGAGGAATCTGTACATGGACCAAGAGGCAGTTGTTCAAACAGAACATGGGAACACTGAATGTTTTAAAATTAAGAAAGGTGTGTGATAAGATTGTATTCTTTCACCATACTTATTCAACCTGTATGCTGAGCAAATAATCTGAGAAGCTGGGTCTAATGAAGAAAAACATGGCATCAGAATTGGAAGAAGACTCATTAATGACCTGCGATATGCAGATGATACAACCTTGCTTGCTGAAAATGAAGAAGACTTAAAATATTTACTGATGAAGATCAAAGAGCACAGCCTTGGGTATGGATTGCATCTCAATGTAAAGAAAACAAAAATCCTCGCCACTGGACCAATAAACAATATTCTTATCAACAGAGAAACGATTGAAGTTGTCAAGGACTTCATTCTTCTTGGATCAACTATCAACATTTGTGGAAGCAGCAGTCAAGAAAGCAAATGACGTATTATGCATTATGCAAATCTGCTGCATAAGACCTTTTTGAAATGTTGAAGAACAAAGATGTGAGCCTGAGGACTAAGGTGTGCCTGACCCCAGCCATGGTATTTTTAGTAACCTCATATACATGCGAAAGCTGGACAGTGAATAAGGAAGACGTAGAAGAATTGGTGCTTTTGAGTTACGGTGTTGGAGGAAAATATTGAAAGTGCCATGGACTGCCAAAAGAACCAACACATCTGTGTTGGAAGAAGTGCATCTAGAGTGCTCCTTGGATGCCAGGATGGCCAAACTTCATCTCTCATACTTCAGACATAGTGTCAGGAGGGACCAGTATCTTGAGAAGCATATCATGTTTGAAGGTGGAGGGTCAGAGAAAAAGAGGAAGACCCCCAGCGAGATGGATTGGCCAAGTGGCAGCATCAATGGGCTCAACCATGGCAGCAATTGTGAGGTTGGCCCAGGACCCGGGCAGTGTTTTGTTCTGTTGCAGATAGGATCGCTATGAGTCGGTACCGACTTTATGGACCTAACAACAACAAAAACATATGTAATGATAAGAATAAAAGAGGGTGATGTGTTAATAATTCCATGGGTAAGAATTCATATATTTCCCTCCTGTGAGCTGGTATTCATTGAGATTTGACTGATGATTGTGAGGTGGAATAAGAACATTTCAAGAACGGAAAGTTATCAAAGTATAGAAAGAAGGTCTATGGGAGGAGCGTGCTGTTGTTAAGTGCTATCAAGTCGGTTCCTATTCATAATGACCCTGTATAGGGTTTCTGAGGAACAGCTGGTAGATTTAACTGCCAACCTTGTGGTCAAAGTCCAGCATTGAGCCTACAGCACCACACCAGGAGTCCAGGGAGAAACTCAGTGAGCTAGAGATGGAGTGAAAGGAAATCTTAGATGTCAGATCTTTAGAAAATGTTCATTGTACTCCAATATGTGGACCATATTGAGCATCTCTGTTCTGCATTTCTGTTACAACTTTCATTTTATAATATCATACTTCATTGTAATTGCTTGTTTAATTGTCTCTTCTTCTTAGTAGATTCTGAGCATTTCCCTATTTCAGATTTTAGCTCAGACATCTAGATCTTCCCTGAGGCCTTCCTGGTTCACAGTCCAGATTAAGATGTGCTCTCTTTATGTGTCCACTGTCTTTCCCACAGTGTCACTTATTGACTGTTCTGTAATTGCCCAGTGTTCAGTCCTAATTTCATAGTCCTTGGTTGGCTATAAGAATGGTGAGAACAGGGGTCTCTATCTGTTCTGTTTTATCCCCACAATCTATCACAGTCCCTGGTACATAGTCAATATTGGTTAAACACATACAGAAGAGAAGAAAACAGATTGAGTGCTATTACAGTGCCTTAACTTCAGAGCTTTGGAGTTGGTTTATGTTTTTGACTAGATAAAGAGATTGAAAAGAACATAATCTTTTTCTTGTTTAGGCTTATGGGATGAAGACTCAAAGGCTTGCTGATCTCTCGCCAGCTTTCCTCTCTACTACTCTTTCTGCTCTGGATGAAGCCCTGCATGGTGGTGTGCCTTGTGGCTCCCTCACAGAGGTAAAGGAGAAAATTTTACTTGATTTTTTCATTAACTTATAATCTTTAGAACCAAAGGGAAAAGTTTCATGAAAACAATATTAATTAAACTATAAGTTCTTCAAGGACATAAAAGAAAAAAATTATATTGGTTGACTGAAGTCTGTTTGTTGTTGTTGTTGTTAGGTGCCATCGAGTCAGTACCGACTGATAGCAACCTCTTATGCACAGCAGAATGAAATTCTGTGCGATCCTGGGCCAGTCTCACTGCTATTACCATGCTTTAGTCCATCGATGCTGCCATTTGGTCAGTCCATCTCGTTGGGGGTCTTCTTCTTTTTCTCTGACCAGCAACCTTACCAAACATGATATCCTTCTCCAGCAACTGGTCCCTCCTGACAATATGTCCGAAGTATGAGAGA